AACGAGACCAAAATCAACCGCTTGTCCAGTGATGGCCGCAAGTACGCATGGATTCGCGACGGGACGGCCCTGCAAGGTCATCAGATTCAACAAACCGTCAAGCATGGGGGCGGGTCATTGATGGTATGGGGGTGCATGACTTATGATGGCCCGGGGTATATGTGCAAGATTGACGGCCACATGGATGGGGAGCTGTACAGGAGTATATTGCATGATGAGCTTGCTCAAACTATCGATTTCTATAGTCTAACCCCCTCGGATGTCATTTTTCAGCATGACAACGACCCCAAGCACAAGAGCCGCCTTGTGCAAGCATGGCTAGCTGAGCAGCCGTATGCGGTCCTCAAGTGGCCCTCCTCCTCCCCTGATCTCAATCCCATAGAGCACCTGTGGGCACACCTTAAAAGGGAGCTCGACAAGTATGAGCACCCCCCCACGGGGATGCTCCAGACTTGGGAGCGGGTGCAAGAGACATGGGATGGGATTGGGGCGGATGTGTGCAGGGGCCTCATCAACAGCATGCCTAGGAGGGTGAAGGCAGTGGTTAGGGCTAAGGGGAGGTGGACTAGGTACTGATTTTGAAATGTTGAACACGTTCTTCAAATCAGGCCAAAAGTGTCCGAATAGGACTTGGTGAATGTGGTTGTTGGTTTGGCATTATAAACATGCCCTTTCAGGCTGCATGACATGTGCTCCTCTTGCTCAGGAGGCACTACACTAGTATATTAAATCCCCCTGTTTTTAAAACTCTGTATAAGAAATACACACGCTTTTTAACCTCTCAAAGGGTCAACATATGGACTGTTTCTTCCGTCACTGTAGCAGTGGTGTAGCTGGTGGTCCAGGTGTCGGCGTTGAGCAGCAGCAGCAGCAGCAGTCGCCGCCGGTGTCCGCCCTTTGCCTGCTCAGCCTTCCCTCCCCTGACCGCTCGCCTAGGCCTCCGTCGCCGTCTCCCCCTCTTCCTGTTCACGGTCCTGTGTTTCCTCCCCCGGACTCGTCCCCGGCTCGTTTCCCCTCTCGTTTCCCTCCTGTGACTCCTCCTCTGTCTCCTGACCCGACACCTCCGTCTCACGTTTGGTCTCGCCGTCCCTCTCGTGCTCGTCCTGTCTCTCCTATTCAGCGTTCTCACCCTATGTTGCTTCGTTCCCACGCATCTCGTCCTCCCCGTTTGCCTTCGCCTCCTCCGTCGTAGCTCACTGTCGTGCCTCTCCCTCTGTTTGTCTACCATTGTGCTGCTCGTCCTCTTGTTCCTCGGGTCCTTGCCTCCCTCGTTACCGACCCGTCTGTTCCTGTCTCCACTCTTGACGCTCTTGTCGCTGCGGTCGCTGACTTTGCCTCTACTAGCCGCCTTGACTATGCTACCGCTCTGGTCTCTGACCCTGTGTGTCCTCCGTCCGTCGGGGGTGCTCCTGCCCTCGGCAGTAACGTCTTGGAGGACCGGCAGTACAAGCTTGCTTTCCTGTCAGAGGCTGCTCCCCATCTCTGTTCCATGCCGCTAGTCCCTGAGGGTGACCCTGATGCCTTTGACATCCCGACCCCTCGCACCTACGCCGAGGCGACCTCGGAACCCTGGGCCTCTTAGTAGATAGCTGCCATGGAGCAGGAGATGGCATCTTGGAGGGCTACCGGCACCTACGTCGACGCAATTCCCCTACCTAGGGTGAACATAGTCGATGGCCGGTGGCTCTTCAAGGTGAAGCGCCCCCTTGGAGAGTCGCCTATGTTCAAGGCGCGCTTTGTGGCTAGAGGCTTTAGTCAGCAAGAGGGGGTGGACTTTTTTCAGACCTTCGCCCCGACCCCGAAGATGACTACTCTTTGGGCGCTGCTACACGTAGCAGCACAGCGTGACTACGAGCTTCTCCACGGGTTTCCTTAAGGGAAGCCTACACGAGCAGGTCTACCTGCGCCGCCCTCAGGGCTTCATCGGTACTTTCCCCCCTGGGACCTGGTGGCTCCTCCAGCGCCCCGTCTACGGCTTGCGACAGGCGCCCCATGAGTGGCACGACACGCTGCGTGCCACACTAGCTGACTTGCAGTTCTTTCCGTCCTCTGCTGACCCTTCGCTCTTCGTTCGTGCTGGCCGGACTCCGTTCTACATCCTGGTCTACGTAGAGGACCTGGTCTTTGCTATAGCAGACAGAGACGCGCTGGCCTCCGTGAAGGCTGAGCTGCTGAGGCGACACACCTGCACTGACCTGGGAGAGCTGCACCGCTACCTTGGCCTGCAGATCTCCAAGGACAGAGCAGCGTGCACCATCATTTTTATACAGTCACACTTGTTGCGCCAGGTCCTTCAGAGGTTCGGTCTTCATTCTCCTCCATACAGCCCACACATCTGCTGGCAGACCACATGCTCTCAGCTCCAGTTCCCGAGAAGTCAGTAGCGCCCAGTGGTCCTTAGCAGAGCTAGTGGGTTGCCTTATGTACCTGATGACTTGCACTCGCCCAGATCTCGCATACCCTTTCAGCATCCTCGCCCGCTTTGTGGCCACAGGCAGACACCGACCACAGCACTGGTCGGTTGCTAAGAGGGTTTTGCGTTATCTACAGTAGCAAGTATATTGGGCATGGGGCTAGTGCTAGGAGGACGCAGGCCAGTGGTCCTTATTGGACACACAGACGCTTCTTGGGCAGACGACGCTGAGACCCTCCGGTCCTCCCAGGGCTACTGCTTCAGCCTTGTTTCTGGTGCCATCTCGTGGAGGTCCACTCGCTCCTCGTCTGTTGCTCAGTCTAGCTGCGAGGCTGAGATCTACGCCGGTGCCATGGCAGCACAAGAGCTCCGCTGGCTGACCTTCTTGCTTGCCGACTTAGGTGAGCGGCCTTGCTCTGCCCCGACTCTGTACGCTGACAACAGGGCCATGATCCTCCTGTGTCAGGAGCCTCGACTTGAGGGTAGAGCAAAGCACATCCAGCTGCGGTACTTCCTCATGCGCGAGCTTCAGCAGCGTCGCCAGGCCCGCGTAGTACACTTGGCCTCGGGTGCCAACACAGTTGATATTTTTACTAAGGCGCTTCCGTCTAGAGATCATCAGCGGCACTGCTTGCAGTTAGGTCTAGTCCCTGTTGACTCCCACTTGCTAGGCCCTTGATTGTGTACTCCTTTCTATTTATGCCTTCCAGACTGGCCTTGTGGCTTTTCCTCCAGTGGTTGGACTAGTAGTGCCGCCTTGGTTTGCTCTGTCTTGCTTGTACTCTTGTTGACTGGTCTTCGGGCCCCTGCCTCAGAGGTTGGACTAGTAGTGCCAACCTGAGCTACGTGTTTCTTTCTCAGCACTACCCGGTATCTAGCCTAGGGAGTGTGTCAACTTATACATATATTGTTATGTAGAAGTTATAGGCTAGATAGGGTATGTTCTTATTGGGTACAACCCAAATGCTATACCGTATTCCCCTGGATAAAACACCTGCCGGAATTAATCTCCCATGGGTGGTTTGGGCGGGCCAGTGTGCTTTATTAAACTGGATATTCATACCACCCTAGTTTTTGGCATGAATCCTATACACCACCCCCCTGGTTCATTTTCACTGTATTCATTTAGATTTTGCCTCTTATCAGAGTGACTCTTATCAGACTCGCGCGTCACTGAGCAGTGCAAGCTCGACGTGAATCGGTTCAATGCAGTGTAGAGCTGTTACCATGCCTGGAATTCTCGTCACTCAGGCGAATGTTGCGAGTCTGATACAGTACGAGGCTCATGGGAACACACTCCTCACAGCCAACACTGTAGCGCGGGAGAATCCATGTCGGTCGGCCCTGGTTGGGTCGTGAAGGAATCTGCAGCAGATTCCTTCCAGCTTTGGTGCGCTGTCACATTGTGGCGTCGAGGTTGCCACTTGCCACCACGATTTGACAGAACGTGACAACATGTGACGCAGGCAACCTAAGACTGTTTGCCTGCAACCAGGCCCTGAGATATCAACCTTAAAGCCCTGGTTAGCTTAATTTCAATGGCTGTTTTTTCCTGTTGTCTATGATATTCCGGTGTTTGCAAAATGCCCATTGCAACTTATTTCTCAACAGCAGGTCCCTCAAAAGAAATTGTATCATTTGCACCAGCCAATGCCAAGATATGGCCTGGACTCAAAATCCAGATCAGCCTAAAAAGGCTGATATCTAAGGGCCTGCCTGCAACATGGCATGACGATGGTCCTCCTCACCATATGCGCGATCACGTGCAAGAATCATCAAAATTTGGCACAGAAGAAGTGTCTACAACACAGTTGAATTCCAGTTCATAAACATAAAATTGTCATTCCATAGCCCCTGAGCGTTATACAAAAAGTGCCACTAATTACATCCCCACTAAATTTTGCATCAAATTTAGTGCCACCCGTGGGTGTTTTATCCGGGGGAATACGGTATCTCCCCTGTTCTCCCTTTTTCTAATCATTCTTTCTAGTCTTAGCACTTAGAGCGTGTTCCTACCAGCCTCTTCCCAGGCAACCTCTTCCCAAAACCTTCTTGGGCCGAGGTTCACGAACTCAAGCACCCCTTCCCAGTCACGTACGAAAACTGTCGCTCCCCACTTTTGGTCACGAATCATGTCGCCTGCATGCCACGTAGTCCGCTTGTAATTGCACGGATTTCGATAACAGTCAATTGGCGGGCCCACGTCCCGGTTAGCCGCTCACAAATCCGAAATCGCATGCGCTAACGACAGCCACGTACGCACACATTTCGCCGCGTGCCAACCAAACTGACAACTCACGAATCGACCGTCCTTGGGTTGTGAGCGCTGGTCTGCAATTCGTACCGTCGCATTCGTTTGTGGTTTTTGATTCGTCGGCACAAACCGTGGAATCAAGTTTGAACGAAACGGACTCGTTTGAAGGGCAGCTCAACAATTGCCTAGTCACCCTTTGTACAATGTCGCGCGCATCCCAGGCCGACAACTTTGTCAGGGAAGAGGTTGGGCTTGGCTTCGGCGCGATTCAGGCGAGATGTGCTAGTTTGGGATAAGGTTGCCTGGGAAGAGGCTGTTAGGAACACGCTCTTAGTGCTACTCTCACATGGTGTTTGATAAAACGGATTGATACTCATCCACTAGACAGTGACAATCAGTGCAACTCGTAAGGGTTACGGGTATGCTGAAAACCTTAGTAGATATCTAATGGCCGACGGTAAGGCTATGTTGCAAACCACAGTAGATATCTAAAAAGCCAAGGGGTGTCCGCATGCGACTGCTTGGCCAGAATCAAACCCATAGTGGGCCTCCCTCATACAACTGCCATCAGCACAACAGCCAGCGGCAGGGCTGCAGCGATCAGAGAAGCCCCACCCGCCCCAGCACCCTTGGGAGGCGGAGGGGAGCTAGGAGGGGCAGGGGTGGGGCTCGGGGGAGGAGAAGCGGGAGTTGGGGCTGGAGCCGGGGCGGGCGGACTGGCAGGAGTCGGAGTAGGCAGTGGGGAGGGAGCTGGAGTAAGGGGGGGGGATGGAGGGGCGGCAGCGGGGAGGGATGGGGCAGCGGCAGAAGGGGGGGACGGAGCAGCGGCAGAGGGGGGGGATGCAGGGCCGCCATTGGGGGGGAAGGGCGTGGTGGCGTTGGAGTAGGGGAAGTCAGCGCAGAGGGTTTTGTCCAGGGGGCGGCCCGAGATGTCCTTGGCGGCGGTGATGTTGACGGAGCCGGGCGGGCAGGTCGGCGGGATGGTGAGCGGGTCGCAGCACAGCGGCGTGATGGGCATCACCGTCGGCCCTGCGTAGCACGCAGTTTTCTGCACGAGGGGTGGTGACGAGGGATTCAGGGAGCAATCCAAGCGAGAGGAGATGAGCAAGGGTTGAGTTACGTGTGTGTTCGTGCGTGGGAGATAAGAACGCGTGCGTGTGAAAGAGCTTGTGTGTGGGAGTGCGACTGGTGGACTTCATTGGCTCATTATTAACTTCGGCTTGACCGCTGCGTCTACCCGCACGGCGACTGGCGCATAGACTCACCGCGACGGTGGCGTTGAAGCCGGGGATCTGCGCGCTGATGAGCGGCACCAGCGCCTGCTGAATGAGGTCGTCCGACGTCGCGAACGTCTCGCCCAACACGAATCCCGCAACTGCGTGCGCCATGGCAACCCGCACATAGATAGAGAAGGAAACAACAAAAAAACAAGACATCGTAAGGATACCAGGATCGAGAGAGGCATCGAACGACGGAGAGTGAGATGGGCGGTCTTCGAGTGACTCTACAGAAGCAGGCGAAACGGCCCTGCCTAGGCGACTCCAAAGGCGCGGACGTTAGAGCAGAATGACGTGGGAGCGCGGATCTGACATTCGAGCGAGGAGCAGGCATTGTAGATCTGCTGCGCGTGGTCAGCGCAGATCTGCAGCATGTACTTCCCGGGGTTGCCCGTGATGTAGTTGCCCGAGTCTGCCGCGCACGAGGGGGCGACAACGAGGGGGCAGAGGGCGCGCGTCAACGGCGGGGAAAGGAGGGAAAAGAACGCGCCCCGAGGGTGCAGAGCGTTGAAATAGCCAAACGTGTTTTGTTAGGTTTGGTATCTCACCCGGGTTGCACTTGACTGCGCAGACGAGCTGCTCCATGAGCGACTGGCACAACTCATGGCCCTTCATGATGGGACAGATCTGCACGCACGACACGCACGCACGCACACGCATACGTAGACATACAGAGACGGATAAAAAAGGCATGATTTTCATAAGGCCACGCACGCTTGCTGAGAAGGAGCGTGGAAACGATTGATGATAGAACTACACCCATACATTGCGGCACACCGACTCCACGTGAGAGCGCGACTCACGCTGCTGGGCACGGTGGAGAGGTCGAGGAAGCCCCCAAAGGCGGCCTCGGTGGCGGCGGTGACGTTGATGGCGAGCGACTGGACGGCGTAGTTGAGATCGGAGCAGTCGGAGCAGCACGACAGCTGCTGCGCTGCCACGCACCGCGTGGGGACCACTCCCGGCTTCGTCGGCGGCTTGCCCGTCAGCGGGCAGTTCGGGTACGCCGCTGCATCGGTCGACGTCAGAAGAAGAGTCGCCGCGAGCAGCGCCGTGAGAAGCGCCGCATTGAAGTGATGCGAAAGCATGGGCTTCGCCTGCGAAGCGGCCATGGTGATGGCGAGTGCTGTGCGCTGAGCGACCTTGGTCTGCAGGTGGAACGAGAAACAACCACACAGCGGCGTCGACTGGAAGACCGAGATCACTATCACTGCACAGGAGACCAACAAAAAGCAGCCTGAAGAATGCTTGACTGTGGCTAGGTTGCGCTTGAATTTATGTTCATCACCTCCCCTCCCCATCTCACCCCAGTGCCGTGTTGGGAAAGTGTGCCCTCCCCACCTCACAAGAGGCGCTGAGCTGAGGTCTAGCAGAGGTGTGGATCGCTCAACAGGAACCATGATGCCAGCCAGACCCAGTCCGAGTCCTGAGTTCCGACTCCCGAGTCCTGACTCCCGACCGAATACCACGGGGACAAGGGTCACCCCGCACGAAACACAACCGGCAAACCACCACCGCTTGGCAGGCTCGAGAAAACACTGGCGGTTCCGATGCGACCGAGGCTATGCTGGCTGGCTTGCGGGAGAATTTCCGAACCACGTGGTCCGGCGTATATCTCGTTCCTCAACTGAGTGAATGTGCGTGTCCGGACTCTGTCTCAAGTGATGCCCCAGATACCTGACCTGAGGTACTATTTTTTTCCCCCTTGCCACTATCCATGCTTCTGTCACACATATGACATGCCGAGCCCTCCCAAAATTAAACGCGCCTATTTTGCAGCTTCGGCAAACGCCAAGCTTCACCTAGTTCGGCCCTGCCACACGTCGGATGCCGGTTAAAGCCGTTGACCCAAATTGCAGAAATTGCGTTTCAAGATTAATAGTCTTGAAACCCCCCGATTGGTAACCTAGTTCCCCAAAGCGACAGCAAAAACCGAAGTCGTGCACCAAAACGACGGGAAACAGCCCATAATCTTGGGCCACCACTAGCCAATTCCGCCACTGCCCCCGTCACACCAGACGTATGAGCGGAAATAAACTTCCGCCCATACATTTTGGGACTTTCGATGTGCAAACTCTGCCCAACGCCACTACGCCCTAGGCTGTGAAAGCACCAGGCACTAGGGCGTGGTAGATCTCGGATCAATTGAGGTTGAGACCTGAACTCACAACAAAAACAAGGATTGTGACACGACCTCAGAGGAGTGTGCAGTGCAGTCGTCATAGGTGGGAGAAGGAACACAAATAGGGACGGTAGAGAGTCAGGAAGGTGCTTCACCTCATTTAGTTCCGACCTCAACAAGGGATTTTTTTTTTTTTTTTTTTTTTTTTGGTCGGGAAGGAAGGCAAACGCTAATTATAGGTGCCCACTCGCTCGCTATTCTTCGGCCACGTCATCCCTTAAGTAATAAACCATTGGATTGGGCATGTCAACTTGGCATACTGGGCTGTAGTTGGTGGTCATATATGGTGATGACATAGAAATCTTGTCATGAGTCTTATCAACGGCAGTCTTTAGAGGACACACACGCATTGTGTAAGCGTCTTGTGGGCACGTTCATGTCTTCTTGCACAGGCCCAACGGGCGAGACTATGTGGTCGTATGACGCGCGTATTAATCTTACGTGAGTGCAAGAATATGTGTGTATGTTGTTGTTGTTGTTTTTTTTTTTTTTTTTTTTTTTTTTTTTTTTTTAATAAATATATTAAGAACGCTACAACATCGGAGAGGTTAAACAATCTTTACACAATCTTAGCCGGCCGATTGGCCCCTTGGCCCCTTTGGGGGCAATTAGCCATCCCATGCCCGGGTTCACGACAATAGAAACAACGGCCGTCGCCGTCCCTAAGCCATGTGTTCCAAAGGCGCTCCCCTTGGCCTCGAGGGCGAAGAGGGGGTTCAGGACGGGATGTGGAATGGGTGGGCCAAGTGGGCCTCTTCTTGCTAGCCGCTACAATCTGAGAAGCAGCCTTGACATTCTTATCCTCTACCACTTCCCCGTACTTAATCTTAAAACCACAGGCTAGAATAGCAAAGGGGGGGCGCACTTGAAAATTGGGTTCTTTTTGCGGTCAGAGAAAAGGATCCGACTTCCTCTGGTACACTTTCCCAGGCTCGAAAAAACAAATGCTGCGAATTTGCAGCCCACACTGATTCGCTGACGACACAAAACAGATCGAACCCCCAGAAAGGAACACGACGCGACAAGTTCGAGGGTCGCATTGCTAAAACCAAAAAGAAGGGCATGCGACCACATGTCACAGCCCATGGTTTCAAGTGAGCCCTAGGTGTGCTTCTAGTTTTCAGACGTAGGCTCTTCTTACACGTAGACTAACTTAGGAAGCCACAGCGGTCTCGACACCTATCCTAAAAATCCTTCGCTGGTTTAGCGGGGCAAGAACATTCCCCCCCACGTGCAGGAGGTTTTAGTTTCGTAAAAAAGTAGCAGAACTGTTATACTGATGGTACGAAGAGAGGGGAACGAGTTGGGCCGACGAGATAGGCCAGACAAATAGGCTTGACGCGATAGAGTTAGGCTCGACGAGTTAGGCGGTTCAGCCAGCGTTGCTGAGTGATACGACGGCAGACTTGTCACCTTACAAAGAGGTACGCGGGGAATGGAAAAGAGATATGCGAACTGGGGGAAAGGGGAGGTCGGAATGGGGGAACGGGGTAGGCGGATGGGGGAAAGGGGTAGTCGGAATGGGGAAACGGGTTTGGCGGATGGGGAAAAGGGGTAGTCGGAATGGGGAAACGGGGTAGGCGGGTGGGGGAAGGGGGTAGTCGGAATGGGGGAACGAGGTAGCCAGATGGGGGAAAGGGGCAGTCAGAATGGGGGAACGAGGTAGGCGGATGGGGGAAGGGGGTAGTCGGAATGGGGGAATGGGGTAGGCGGGGAAAGGGGTCGTCGAATGGGGGAGCGGGGTAGGCGGATGGGGGAAGGGGGTAGTCGGAATGGGGGAACGGGGTAGGCAGATGGGGGAAAGGGGTATTCGGAATGGGGGAACGGGGTAGGGAGGCAGGGAGATGGGGAAGGCAGGGAGATAGGGGAGGCAGGGAGATATGGGAGGCAGGGAGATAGGGGAGGCAGGGAGATAGGGGAGGCAGGGAGATAGGGGAGGCAGGGAGATAGGGGAGGCAGGGAGATAGGGGAGGCAGGGAGTTAGGGGGACAGAAAGGGAGAGGGGGGGCGAGGAGATAGGACCAGCCTTGCACCCTCCCACGTCCCTGTATTTTCCACCCACCCATCCTCTCACTCCCCCTCCATTTCCCCGCACACAACACCCTTTCCCAAAGCTCCCCCCTGTTCCACACCTCTCTCCTCCTATCCCTCTTAGAGGGGAAATAAAGGGCACGGGGAGGGGGGGCAAAGGGGAAAGAGAGGGGTACAAGGGGATGGCGGAGGGGGTACAGGGGCGAGGAGTGGGAGTACAAGGGGAAAGCGGAGGGGGTACAGGGGCAAGGAGTGGGGGTACAAGGGGAAAGCGGAGGGGCTACAGGGGCAAGGAGTGGGGGTACAAGGGGAAAGCGGAGGGGGTACAGGGGCACTGAGTGGGGGTACAAGGGGAAAGCGGAGGGGGTACAGAGGCAATGAGTGGGGGTACAAGGGGAAAGGAGTGGGTTAGGCTTGTTGTTTGCCACGTCCTGTCCCCTCCCACGTCTCTGGATTCCCTGCTCTCAGCAGGTCTCATCCCCTCTCAATCTCCCCGCCCCCTCCAGTCATCTCACCATTCTTTTGCTCTATCCCTCCGTCTCAAGCCCCACCCCCTTACCCCCTTTTATCCAAACCCTCTCCTATCCCTCAATCCCTTGTCTCCCCACTCTCTCCTGTGCCTCCATTCTTCTCGCTCCCCGCTGTTCCCCCCCTCTCTGCTGTACCCCGGCTCTCTCTTGTACGCCCGCTTTCTGTTGTACCCCGGGTCTCTCCTGTACGCCCGCTCTCTGCTGTACCCCCGCTCTCGCTTTCTACTCGTCACCCACCATTTACCCCCTATCTTTTACTTCCCCCCATTTCCCAACCCAAAATGGCACCCGTCCGTTGCAGTTCTTGAACTAGAGGGACCTACCCTAGGTAGCCAAGATTGTGGAAGTGCAAGTATGCTTTAGTCAAGAGTGCCAGTTGTATTATTTTGCATCCTACAGTGAAAAATAATAGTACAACGTCTCACAAAAATTAGCACTTCAGTATTTTCCTTGCTCCTAGCATGCTCAAGGTTGTTATTCTCATGTCCAATATTATAAAGAATACATCTGCGGATGTGTTTATCAGCATTTTCCATTGTGAGTTTCGCTGTTTTGGATTCGAGTCTTTGGCGCGTACCGTTGCACGCTTGAAAAGTCCTTGTGTCAGCGTGTTCGCACTTGGCGCACTCCCCTGTATTTGCAGTTCCTTTCGCTCCAAGTTGTGCCATTAGCCCTGTAAGCTCACATTTTCGAGATGGTTGAAGAGGTACACTTCAACAAAACGAACAAGCCCTAGTTGCAGCTTTCCTTCTCAGTCGGAACTGTCGCGCGTGGATTTGGCGGCCTCGTCGCACATGCTCCGAAGTCGCCCAACCTCCCCCAAGCGTTGATTATGGTGGGTTCGTTTCTGCCCAGTTTCCCAAAACGTTCCCTGTCAATTTCGCTCTAGCAACCCAACTTTTTCCAGAGTGCCCCCACTTCAAGAGGGGCTCACTTGAAGCCCCCCTTTGCTATTTTAGCCTGTGGTTTTAAGGGCCATATTGGCCACTTCAAAACCGCGTTGATCGGCGGTAAACAAAAAATGAATCTTTTCTTCCGCCTCCTCTACTATCTGCTGGAGATAGTCGGCGGCTTGTTCACCACCATTAGGTAGTAAAACCGAGATAGCATGACGTGCAATAGCTTGAATGCGCTCAAAACTAAAAAGTTGCGTACGAATGCCATCGCTTTTAACTAAGGAAGAGCGCAACTGAGGACGTGCAGGTGGAATAGGAGAAAGGGCGAGCGCTGCAGAAGCGGATTTTGGGCGGGCAGCATTACCTTCGTCGAGCGTGGCATGGGGTGCTTCCTCGTCCATTTTGTCGTCCACGGGCTCAGGGGCAGGCGCCGGGAGGCGAGAGCGTGGGGCTGCCGCCACTGCGACGCGTGCTGGTTCCGGAGGCGGTGCTGGATCGGCGCCATTGCCACGCTGGAGCGCCGCAAGAAGACCAAGAACGTGGTGAATGGCCTCATTGTTGGTGCCGGCGTAAACATTATTGTCGGTGTAGCGAGCAGAATTATTTTCTGCAGAATGAGGTG